GTCAAGAGACATAAAGAACGCCAAGTAGACAGGACCTGAGAAGAAACTCATCATATCACATGATAATCAAAACACAAATGTGGGGATCAGTGGTTAAGAGAATTTCTTGCTCTTGCAAAGGACCTGAGTTCAATTTCCAGCAGCCACATGGTGTCTTATAACCACTTGTAATTCTACTTCCAGAGTATCTGTGGTCTTCTTCCGACCTCCACAGGTATTAGGCATGCATGTTGTATGCATACATACACACAGACAAACATTCATAAGTATAAAATAAAATTTAAAGACAAAAAGAAACACCATCAACAAAACCCCACTAAATGTACAGAACAGCAACAACAAAGATATTGAAAGTGAGAAGAGAGAATGACCAAGTTATATTTAAAGACAGGCCCATCAGAATAACACCTGACTTCTCAATGGAGACTGTGAAAGCTAGAATGTGGTGATATATTGTGTCCCCAATATATTGTGTACCATAACAAAACTTATCTGGGGTCAGAGAACAGAACAGCTACTAGATTAGACATAGAGACCAGACAGTGGTGGCACACACCTTTAATCCTATCACTTAGGAGGCAGAGATCCATCTGGATCTCTGTGAGTTCAAGGCCACATTGGAAACAGAGCCAAGGATGGTGGCACACACCTTCAATCCCAGGACTTGAGATCTCATGTCTCTGCTTGGGACACACACCTTTTATCCCAGGAAGTGATGGCAGGAAGCAGATGGCATGAGGACCAAGAACTAGAGGCTGTTTAGCAGCAGTTCAACTGAAATCCATTCCAGTGAGGACTCAGAGGCTTTCAGTCTGAGGAAACAGGAACAGCTGAAAAGTTGGCTAGGTGAAGTTGGCTGTGGCTTGTTCTGTCTCTCTGATCTTTCAGAATTTACCCTAATATCTAGCTCCAGGTTTTTTATTAATAAGACCATTTAACAATTTGTCTTACACCAGAAAGGTCTTTCTACAGTGTTTGAAAGACAAAAGATAACAGGCAACCTGTCAGTCATAATTAAAGGATAGGAAAACTTACCATGATATAAATGGATTTAAGAAACTTATGTCTACTAAGCTCCATGAAGGGTACAAAAAGTAATACTCCTGTCTGAAGAGATTAAATGCATCCAAGAGGGCACAAGAGAAAAAGCAAACAATTCCAGACCAGTTGGTCAAAAGAAGTCTATTAACTATGCCACAACAAGGTAACAAGAATTAATAAACATTGTTCAAAAATAACTCCCAATATTAAAGGTCTCAATTCCTCAATAAGAAGACACAGACTAGCAGATTAGATTAGAAAACAGGATCCCTCTTCTTGACGTGAAACACACTTCACCATTAAGAACAGATATCACTTTAGATGAAAAGGATTTTTGAAAGGTATCCAAGTAAATGGAATAAAGAAACAAGCAAGTATGACTTAAGATATGACAAAATAGATTTTTAACCCAGAATTCTGTAAGAAGAGATGGGAAAGGATATTCATACTCAATAAAAGACAAACCCATCAACAGGCTGTTACAATTATAAACATTTATGAACCAAACACAGGGGCACCTAATTTCCTAAAAGAAACATTACTAGATCTAGAACCACAATTCAAACCAGCACAGTGATAAATGAATGACTTCAATATACCCCTTTCACCTGTCTCATTGACTAGACAGGTCTCCCAGACAAAAACAAAGAAACTTTTGAGCTAAATTGCATCACAAATTTGTAAGATCTAACAGATAGTTACAGATTATTTCACCAAAACACTAAAAAAATACACATTTTCTCAGAAGTTGATGGAATTTTCTCTAAAATCAACTATATATTAGGGCATAAATCTATTCTTAACAATTCTTAAAAAGTTGAAATAACATTCTGCACTCTGACCACAAAAGAATAAAGTAATAGATATGGCAGTAACTAGACAGACTCATGGAAACTAAACAACAAAACACTGAATGAAAATTGTGTCAGAGAGGAATTTTAAAGGAAAAATTAAAATTCCTAGAAGTGATGAAAGTAAAAGTACAACATATTAAAACCCATGGGACACAATAAAAACATTCCTAAGAGGTCAGTTTCTAGAACTATGTGTCTGCATAAAAAAAAAAAAAAAAAAAAAAAAAAAACCAAGAGATCTCATATTAACAACTTAATGATGCATATAAATGTTGCAAAATATTTGTTCACTGTGTGAAGATATGTCACTCTGATTGGTTTAATAAAGAGCTGAGTGGCTAATAGCTAGGCTGGAGAGACTAGGCGGGACTTCCAGGCAAAGAGAGGAACTTGGGATGAATCTAGATATGCAAGAGATGTCAGCAAGACACTGAAGTAGTTGTACACACTTCAGTGTGTACAGAGGAGAGGTAACTGAACCATGTGGCAGAATATAGATTAGTAGAAACAAGTCAATTTGAGTTAGAAGAGCTAGTTGGGGAAAAGCCCAAGCTAAGGCTGAGCTTTCATAATTAATAACAAGTCTCTGTGTTATTTGTGAGCTTGGCAGACCAAAGGAAAGTCCAACTACTCCTGACGATTTTGGAAAAACAAGAACAAACAAAACCACAAAACAGTAGATGAAAGGAGATAACCAAAATCAGAGCTAAAATCAATGAAATAGAAATGAAAAAAAAATACAAGCAATGAAATAAAGAGTTGATTTTTTTAAAAGAATAACAAGACTGGAAAATCTTTAGCTTAACCACAAAAAGAGAGAACCAAAACAAATAAAATCAGCGATTAAAATTGAAAGATTACAACATATACTGAGGAAAATCAGAGGTTCAGAAGGATATATTAATCTATATTCTGTTAAACTGTAACACCTAAAATAAATGGTTGATTTTTAGTTATATATGACCTACCCAAATGAAATCAAGATGAGTAAATAATTTGAATATCCAGTGAGATAGGAACAGTAATTAAAAATCTCCCAATTACAAAAAGCACAGGAACCTATGGGTACAACACAGAATTCTACAAGCACTAACATCAATTCTCCTCAAATTATTCTGTAAAATAGAAAAGAAGGAAAACTTTAAGATTTTTTTTTTGATATATATATATGGGGATTCGTTGGGAAAAAAGACTCACTGATACAGGATAAGGTAAATTCAGTTGCAGAGTCCTTGGAAAGCTGGGGACTGATCTGCCACATGTTGTAGGCAGATAAAAAGCATCACCTCTATCAGGCTAAATAGTCCAAGGTCATGGGAGGAGCAAATTCCCACTATAAGGGTATCCACCACATTTAACTCAGCTTTATCCAAGAAATGCAGGGGTATTTCTTACATAAATCAGTAAATGTAGTTGACCACATCAACAAACTTAAAGATAAAACCCACAGGATCTTCTCATTAGATGCACAAAATCCAACATCCCTTCACGATAATTATCCTGGAGAATCTAGGAATATGGTGGACGTATGTCAACATATCAAATGTAACATACAGCAAGCCCACAACCAAAGCATATTAATCAAAGAAAAACTCAAAGCATTTCCACTAAAATCAGGAAGAAAAGGATATACAGTTTATTCATTCTTCTTCAATATAATATCTTCTGTCCAGGTTTAAAGGTTGAACCAGTAGGAGCTCTTGGAAGATTCCTGACTGTCTAGGGGGCAGTAAGGGAAACAAACAGACCACTGTAAATGCTTCAGTTTGAGTTTAGAATGGAGCCGACATAAAGGCTGACTCCAAAGCAGCTGCTGCCAATGGTGATGGCATTACATAGTCATGATGACTATGAGCCCTGTCATGACCTCATCTGTCTGCTGAACTGCCCACCTGCCTATGGTCCAAAAAGGAGGCAGTGTTGAGGAATGGCAGACCTAGGCCAAGTTAGGGATTTGGGAAACAGAGAACCTTGATGACACTCTTCTTATGAGCAATCCCATGCCAACAGGCCATGGGTTGTCAGCTGCTACCTGGGGTTCAGAAGTGACTCTCACAGCAGTCTTGCAGGGCTCGTTCTTGGCCATGTGGTTACCAATTAGGAGAGAAATGAGCTTGTAATAGCTCCCGCTGGTTACTTCTCACAGAAACAGTGGGAGTTCTCTGCCCTGAAGCCAGCAGGGCAGCAGCAGCATGAGAAAGTGCCCAATTATGGTTTTGAGAGGTAAAGTATATTTATTTCTGTCTGCATGAGGAAGCAGCACTTTAGGAGTAGGTATAATTGAGGGATTGTTTTAGGTAGACACAAGGCAATTTAATTCTCATAAAGTATTAAAGTAAGACATCAGGAAAATGAAAATGTATTTTACAAGCAGTGCAGACTTCGGTACACTGTGGTCCCCAGTGTTCTGTCTCTGCTTAGGATGTACTTTCAGTCACTCACTTCCTTTAAAACACAAGTTTCCTCTAACAACTTGGAGGGGCTTTACCTCCATTTTCCATATACATTTTCCAGCCAATGATCAGTATTTTAATATCTTTAGAAACTAAATGGTAGCTTTCTTAAGGTTAACACATGCAAGATGTTTCTCAGGACAACAGAGCAATATTCTTATGCAATATATCAACAGCAAGTCATGACTTATTTGATCACTACACACACACACACACACACACACACACACACACACACACACACACATGCACACAAACACACTTCAGTCATTTAATAAGCTAGAGGTATTGTACTTAGCCCTGAGGGTATCCCCAGCTGATATATCAGCTGAAATACAAAATAAAATTTTAGTAAATGTGAGTTGGCAAATGTATCAGCCCTTTTTTTCAGTTATAATAAAATGCCCGAGGCTGGGTAATTTATCAAGAGATTTATTTAGGTGGCAGTTGTGGAGGACGAAAGCTCAAGATAAGGTAACCTCACTGTCGCCAGCCTCTCGGGTGTGTCACAGCATGGCAGATTGTGGGAGTGCTTCTAGCACGCAGGAGCCAGACTCAGGGTCCAGGTTTTCTTTGCTGTTGCTCTGGAACGAGTTAGTTTTTTCCTTCTAATTTTATTTCTTTTCTTAATTTATTCACTTTATAGAGGGATTTCTCCATTGTTGGCTTCGGCACCAGTTCATTGAATCCCCTACTCATTGATGACACAGGAAAGATTCCAGAACTGCATTCCAGGTGCTCAGAGTTCCATCTCAAAGCCACAGTGGAGAAAGCCTTGGCTTGTATCCTACTGAATGCAGCAGTGCACCGTGGAATCCCTAAAGCGCAACCGCGACCTGGTCCGCATCTTGGGTCGATACTGCCCCAAGAAAAGCAGCTGCTTGGTGTTGAACGCGCCTCTTCGTTTCTGCCGGATAAAGTGAACTGCGTCTTCATTCTTCATTCCACATTCGATCAAAGCCAGTGCCACCAGCACAGGAGCCCTTCCCAGCCCTGCCATACAGTGCACTGCCACACAGGAACCTGGTTCCTCACGGAAATTGCTTTTTAACAGGTGCAGCCAATCATCCACTATGTTATCAGGGGGTGGGGCTCCGTCGTTGTAGGGCAGGTCTAGAACGCGGATGCCACGGTTTTCAACTAGAGCTTTATCATACGTGGCATCGCAAACTCTGACCAGGGTTGTCACTCCATAGTTCTTAAGTTCCTCTGTGAACTTGTGCATCGTAGCATTGGTAGGGTTGTGAGTTATCAGAAAACGCATGTTGTCATAGCAGATCTCCACTGGGGCTGTATGATTCATTATGGCAAATGAGAGTGTGCCTGCGTGTGTGATGGGAAAGCGAAAACATTAAGATCACCAAAAGGTCTATTGTCGTTCTTTATTTTCTTTATTCGGTTTGTTTACTCTGTATGAAGCTTCTTCAAGAAAGGCAGAAGTATTTAAATTCATTCAAATTCAACCTGGGCCTTAGCGTCTGCAGATGGATACCTTCAGACTTCAGAAACAGCCAGCTACATACCGAACTCACCTACCCGGCCTACATTTAGACACTAGCGAGACAACAGTGATGGTTGTCTTCCGCCTTTGTTTACTTGATGTTTGATTTTACCAGAGTCATTAAATGAAATATACTTGCAGTTACTTTTGACGACAGCCTCGTGTCCAGAGTCTTCAAGGCGCAGTTGAACACGGCACATAGAATCCCCAAGGTCACTTGTCATGGAAATTGCTGTGCTGAGCCTGGCAGAAATTGACTCTCAAATTCGGAATCGCCATAAATGTGCAATGTGTTTTTCACCAGAGTCCTGCTGTGATTGAGAAGCTGCAATCTCCCTGCCTGCCTATGCCCTACACACTCCGCCAGGCCCGCTGGCGGCAAGTGACCCTGAGACCATCCTGCCTCTCTGGCTGCCGCTGCGTCTCTGCCACCACCGCGCAGATGTCTAGAGGGCCTCGCCTTGCTCTGAGCTGGACAAAGCCCCTACCCCAGCTGCTAGCCATGGACACTGCATCCCAGCCAATCGGGCCACCGCCACCCCACTCTTAAATTTATTTATTATGGTTTGCTTGCAAAACAATGAGTTTCATTATGATGTCTTCACACATAAATCATGTGTTTGCTCTTGGCTGTTGTCCACGCTCCTTTGTACTTCTCCCGCCCTCTTCCTCATCCCCTCCCCTCTCCCAGATAGTCCTCCTTCCGTTTTCACGTCCTACAGTTATGATGTGAAATACATGTATTTAAATCTGTATTCTGGCTTGTGATGGAAAATCGGATACTTACCTTTTCAATCTGGCTTATTTTGTTCACTATGACCATATTCCTGCAAAAATTAGTTTTCATCTTTACAACTAAATCACTTCCTTCAGTGGTATATATACCATGTTTTATTTATCCATCACCTAGTGACAAATGTCTAAACTGGATCTGTGTGGTGGCTATTATGAGTAGAAGGCAGCAAACAGCCATGCAAGTGTCTCAGAGGTGTGTGGACTTAGGTTCTCTGCTGTGAGCACCCAGGAGCTCTTCATCCAGGCTGCCCCAGCAGTGATTAAGGGCTCCACTTTTGACATTCTGACCAGCATGCCTTTTGTCTTCTTGCAGCTAGCCTTCTCACAGGCTTATATGACCACAAAGAGTTTATTTGCACTCCCTAGAAGGCTAATAATGCCAGACCTTTTTTTTCTTTTCAAATACTTATTGGCCATTAGGATTCCAGGCAGAAGTCTCCAGCTCTTTAGTCTATGAATGGATGACTTGGGAGTTTAGGTTTCAGAGTTCTTTATCTGACATCGGCCCTTGTCAGAGGATTGCTGGTTAAGGATTCCTCCTGTTCTTCTGTCTCCTTTGCTATGTAGAATCTTTTAAATTTCATTTGTCAATTTTCCCCAATTATTTCCTGAGCTATTGGAATTCCTTTTTTGAAATCTTTCACCTATGCCTGTATCTTGGAAGTGTTTTTCCTGTTTTCTTCTAGCAATTTCAAGGTTTCAGGTCCTAAAATAAAGGCTTTAAAATATTTTGAATTTTTTTGTTGTTGTTGTTCAGTGTGAGAAATAAGCTCACTCTTCTTTACATGGATATCTAGTTTTCCCAGAGCAATGTCTTGAAGAGGTGGTCATTTCTCCAAGGGGCTGTAGCTGTGTGGATTTATTTCTGCTTTCTCTATGCTATTTTACATGTCTGTTTGGGGCTTAGTACCAGTTCATTTGTTACTATGGCACTGTAGCATAATTTGAGATGGCTCGTTGTACACTTATAGCATTGTTCATTTGGCTAAGGATTATTTGAGATATTCAAAGTCTTTTGTATTTTTATACAAATTTTAGGGGTTTTTTTTATTTATGAGAAATTTTGATGAGGACTGCATTAAATCCATAAGAGGCTTTCACTGTTTCATTCACTTTCACAGCCCATGAGTATGGGAGGTCTTTCCACCTTTGGATATCATATTCAATTTCTTTCTTTAGTCTTTTGAAAGTTTTCCTTGAAGAAAACTTTCATCTCCTTTGGGAGATTTATTACTGTTTTTTTAAGAGCTGTTATAAATAGGAGTTTTTCTTCTTTCTTTACAAGTTCACGATTATAAGTGTATAGGAAAAGTACTGATCTGATTTTAGATATTGATTTTGTGATCTATTTTTTTTTTTTGAGTGTTTGTCAGGTCTAAGAGTTTTTTGGTAGAATTTTTAGAGTCCTTTAAATGTAGGACCATGCCAAATAGAGATAGTTCAACTTCTTCCTTTCCTACTTAAAGAAAATTATCTTGACTATTGCTTTGGCTAAGGCTTCAATCACTATTTTGAATAAGGGCACAAACACTGAATATCTTTGTCTCATTCCTCATTTTAGAGAAAATACTTTCTTCTATTTATTTGAATTTGATTATAGATTTGTCTTATATAGCCCTTAATTAAGTTGTAGTATGTTCCTTCTAGTCCCTGTATCTTCAGGACTTTTATCAGGAAAGGCTATTGAACTTGGTCAAAGGTCTTATCAGTAAACATTGAGATGATCACGTGACCATCTATCATTAAGTCTATTTATATCTTGTAATTACACCCACTGATTTGCATATGTTTAACTTTATGTTTGTTTGCATTCCAAAATGAAAATAAAAAGTCAGTTTTTAGTATGAATTTTAAAATTCATACATGAATGCAATGTATTTTGGTTGTCAGGACCCCCAGACTTTTCTCCCTAACTCCTCTTACATCTAATGTCAACTTCCTCACTCTCTCCAATTTCCTGTGCATTTGGTTTTTATCACTCACCAAATCAAATTCATGCTGCCCATGATGATGCATGGAACCATCCACAGAGCATGATCAACCTACCAGGGGCTACATCCTTAAAGAAAAGGGCGTTTCATTTCCTCAGAGGCCATCATTGTAAATCGCTCCTCAGTTAGGGGCTGAAACTCCTAAGCCCCTTCCCACTCCACACTAGAATGTTCACTGGTTTGATCTTGTACAGACAAACACAGTTGCTGTGAGTTTGTGGATGTGGCAGTCTTGCCGTGTCCAGAAGACACTGTTTTGCTTGAGTCCTTCCTAACCATGTCCACAGTGGCTCCTGAGCCTTGGGGGGAAGGGAGTATACAGGTGTCTGTCTCATTCTTGGCTGAGAACTCCAGACACTTATTTTCTGCACATTGACTAGTGAGTTTCTGAGTCAACTGTATCTTCCGAACAAAGAAACTTACCTGATAAGGTCTCCTGAGTTGTGTTTATCATTCTATTCATACTGAAGTGATCCTTCTAGTATTCTCTGAAGGAATGGCTTAGGGGTCATGATTTTTTTTAGCCTACTTTTATCATAGGAGATTTTTCTTTCACTATCAACTCTGACTGGAGTGTTACAGAATGTATTAGACTGAACTGGGAGCTGTAGTCTTTCAGATTTTGAAAGATCCAAGCCCAAGCCCTTTTTGCTTTCAGAGTTTGGAAAGTTCACTGTAGTTGTTTTGTCTTGTTTACTCTTTTGGCTCTTTAGAGGGCCCACCACCCAGCTCCCCTGACCCAGCTCCCAAGTAAATACATGGAGGCTCATTCTTTCCTATGAATGGGCCGGCCTTAGTTTGGCTTATTTCTAGCCAGCTTTTCTTAAATTATCTCATCTATCTTTTCCTCTGGGCTTTTATCTTTCTCTATTTCTGTATACCTTTCTTTACTTCTTTCTCCGTGGCTTACTGTGTAGCTGGGTGGCTTGCCCCTAGAGTCTTCCTCTCCTCCTCTTCCCTGCTTCTCCACTTCTCCATCCCTCTTCCCAGATTTCTCCGATTTATTTTCTCTGCCTGTCAGCCCTGCCTATCCTTTCTCCTGCTTTGCTATTGACTGTTCATCTCTTTATTAGACCAATCAGGTGTGTTACAGGCACAGTAACACAACTTCACAGAGTTAAACAAATGCAACATAAAAGAATGCAACCTATCTTTGCATTATTAACAAATGTTCCACAGCATAAACAAATCTTAAAATAATATTCCACAACAGCTAGCAATTATTCTGATGAGACTGCCTTTGGATATGACTAGGTCCTTCTATTTTGCAACTTTTAATATATTGTCTTTGTTTTGTAAATTTTTGTTTTGATTACTATGTCATGGAGAATTTCTTTTGTGATCCTATCAGTTTGGGTTTCTGTGTGCCAGATTCTCCTTCCCTAGATTAGTGGAATTTTCTATGATTTTATTAAAAATATTTTATTCATTTTCTGTGAAATTCTCTTTCCTCAATGCCAATAACACATTGTCAGTCATTTAGTTCTTCCAGACTGACATATTGATGTGCAGTCATTGTTTTCACTGAAGTTTCACTGATGTTAATATCCCTCTACAATACCTTACACCTTATTTTGAAGGATATCCTCAAAGGGATTGGAAAATGGAAATCTATTTTAATTTTCCTATGAGTATTAGAGAAGAAGGCCTCCATAATATTTTAGTTCAATACCAATAGTATTTAACCTGGAATGTCAAATGTGGCCAGCTACAATTACTTATGAGGAACAAACTCACAGAAAGATCATTTCTTACCAATCTGCCAAATAGGCATGTGGCAAGACTTTAACACCAAGGGCAAACAAAAGAAATTATCTGCTTTTCCTTACATAAAGACAGACTCAAGCACATACATCATCCATCCCTACCAGCAAAGATATGTTCTAATTATTCCTGATAAGATCTATAATTGGTAGCATCAACAATTGTAACAAAATATTACCAATGATTTAGTAACAACTTAAGAGTTAGTATTGTGGGGTCCAAAGGAAACCCCAATTCCCCAAACTCCAAAAGGCAGTCCAAATTTTTAAAAATGGGCTTGACCTGGACTATTGAGGGATTTCTGGTGGTTAGATAAAAGCCAGCATTCCTCCAGAACTTGTGAAACTGGTTTCCTTCTACCAAAAGGAGGCATTGCCCTTACCTCTGACAGAGGGACACAGGGCTACCTGTGGTGCCTATTAGCCTGGCCTCCAGTCTTTCTCAGTAGGACAAGTACTTGTTGTTACACATTTCAAAATCCACCCTAGCCCTTCTTCTCCCCTCCCCTAAACTCCCTTCAGATTAAGGGCTTTCTTCATCCTAGCCATTCATTCTCCTTCAATCCTGTTATGCTCAATATGTTCTCTCTCTGCCTCTCTGTCTGTCTCTCTGCTTCTGTTTCCCTCACTGTTTATTCTCTATCTTTTACTATTCTCCCTTCTCTCACAAATAGCCCTGTCCAGGTCCAGTCTGCTGCCCATGTTCAGTCTGCTTATTTCTCTCTCTGCTCTGGACTCTTCCAGATGCCTCTTGTTGTTCTCTGTCTCGTATCTTCAATAAAAATCTTCCCTTTAAACATAACACAGAGCAGTCATGCTGTCAGTTTATACAAATATATTTAATATATTTATTTCCCAAAATCAGTATTGTACTACCCGAAATTTGTTTCTAGTAGTAAGCATGTGACCTAGGGTCATGAGGTGCTATAGGCAAGTAATTTAACCACTGAATTACACCCATGCTGCTCATTCTTTAGGCAGTTTTACATCAGTTTACAAGCATGTTGTCACATCTCTAAGCTTTCCTGTTTGTATCTGATAAGTGTGTGAAAAAGTATAGTGGGAACATGGAAATTGACAACTGAGTAAATTGTGGAAATAGAGAATTTCAGGGCAGAGTCCCAGTGAGCTCCTGGTGGAAAGGCAGATTCAAGCAGATGATTCATCTGACCTTGAGTTGTCCACTGTTATTGGCCCTCACTCCACTGAAAATACTCTGAAAAGTTTCCTACGTGTTGCTAGATCTGATGATGACTCTTGATTCTTATCTTTGATTTCCCAACATCATTTCAGATTACAATACTCCCTTTTCTTGATATCATCTACCTGATTTGTGGGCTGTAACATTCTACTGGTACCCATTCTGCGTACTCAGCTAGCTGTTTCTTGTTCCCCCAACATCTACATTTTGGTTCGTGTAAACCATCAATGAAAAGTCAGCATACATAGAATGAGAAGTTAAATGCTTGCAAAGAATTCACTGAAACATGTGGCCAGGCCTTCAAGGAATGGGAAATCCCTACCCCAGCTATTAAGGGCAGGAATTTCTGGTCACCCTCAGTCTGATGGCAAAGGCAGTTAATGGAACTGATGAAGAACATAACTGTAAGGAAACTGTAAGGTTGACTGGAGCTTTGGAGTTTAGTGCTGGAATTTCACTAAGACCCTGCAAGGAGGCAGCCTGAGCATCAGTCCTTAGCTTCTGTTTCCCCTGCGTTTTGCACTGTATTATGCCTCTCAACATCTATCTGAGTGCAGTGGAAGAGAAAGAGTAGGGGAGACAAAAACGCAGAGGAAGGAAGCCTCTGGTCCCTGGACAGAAGGAAGAAGGCTCAGTAGGAGTGAGTGAAAGAGAATTTGGTGCAGAATGTTTCAAAGTGACTCAACCTTATGCTCCTCTCCAGTCCTCTCATTCCTTCCATCTCAGGGTGTTCTGTTTCATTTGTTCTCTGATGTTCTACACTACTGTGTCTACCTCCAGCATTTTCTCACATTTTTTTTCATCCAATGGTCTACATTCAATCTCTGCAATGCCAAATACTTCTTGAAATCATTCTTTGTTTTATAGTCAAGGATATAAATTAATAAACATGGTTGACATTAAGTTTCTTCGCAAGTCTTCAAAATGTTCAACATGAAGCCCTTGGCACTCATGATAAAAAAATGACTGAGTATCAGACTTGTCTCTTATAAACTGTAAAACTTGCTATAAAAGCTTGTCAAATTTAAATTCCATTACCTTACTGTGAGATCCTAACTCTGAAGCCTCTCTACCAAAACTTCTGTGTAGCCTTTAGACTGCTTAGATTATTACAGGACAAAGGCCCATGTCAATACATAACAGCCTTTTTTCCTATCAACTTTTAAAATCAACACCAACACCTATTTCCCACCACCATAGACCTCTTGACCTCCAAGTAGAGTCACTGTCTTCTACTACCACCTACAGTAAGTATTTGCTCTCCTCTCCAAAATGCAATACAAACCTTTTATGCCCATGGTTCTACAACCACATGACAGATCAGGAATGCCAAACAGCTCCTTACTCTCCCCACACATTCCCATTCCGTTTTAAAGCAGTTACAGAAGAAAAACCATTTTAATTCCTTGTCATTGATTTGATGTTACTGATCCAATAGAGGATAAATATACAGAGAAAAAGACCAAATGCAAGATTAGACATCTCCTGCCCTTTACAATCAGACCCTAAGTGCTTGGAGCCAGCATACCCAGTGACCTGTGATAGCTCCTCCTAACAACCAATGGTGCCTCA